AGGCCAAATTTACCTAGATAATTTCTCAACTGAGACTTTCACCACCAGATTCTAATTTGTAGCAAATTGGCATTTAAGACTAACCATCACAATTCACAAAATGCAGTCTCAAAGTATTCTGTTTTAATTTTCAGTTTTCCACGAGAGGAAGAAATCTTGGGAAGCTGATTTGCTCAAGACTACAGCTAGCTAAGGACAAGATTGACACTTGGGCAATCTGAGTCACACATATTTATGACATATGCTTTCCTATGTAAAGTCAGGTCTTGTTTGTACTTTTTGATTAAATATAAATTCCAGGACAGAATGGATTTTGCTTTGTATATTGCTATAGCCTCATCATCTAAAACAAAGCCTGGCATGAGGGGAACGTTAGGGCTCTAAGCCAGTAACTTCTGTTATAACAAATCAATAATGCACTGTTAAGATTACAGTATTATTATTTCTTTTATCAGAATGTTATTTCTTGTTATCTAGAGTTGAAGTCTAAGATCTACATGCTAGCAGATTTTGTATCTAGTAAAGGCTCGCCCTCTACTTCCAAAGGGATGACTATTTTCTGCATCATGACATGCTAGAACCTCACAGAGACAATGCTCTGTCCTCCCCACCCATGGCAGAGAAGATGGAGAAACTCAGCAGCTCACAGACTTCTCTTTTGTAAGGGCTTCGATGCTTTTCAGAAAAGCAGAGGTTCATAACGTTATCACTTCCCTGAAGGACTTACCACCTCATGTCACCACCACAACATTGATAAGTTTTCTATGTGAATTTTGGAGGGATACATACTTTCTCCCTTTCAGGGTTCTTTCTCTGTGATAGAAATCATGTTTTTCAACCATGCAGGATGTATGAGCACATCCAAGCTTTTAGGGATCCAGGCTTCACAAAGCATGGCTATGAGAAACAGACCAGTATTTTCCCTCTGGGTAGTCTTAACTTTCTATCTTGGGAGGAGTATGGACAGCCATTTATTTGAAGGCATAGTACAGGAAGAAAAAAATAAGCCATTTCATATGTACATATTCAACTTATTACCTCTAAAAACGTTTTCCACTCCTTTCCTATCTTACTATGTAAGTTTATACAATTTATTTTTCCAAGAAACTTACTCATCTACTCAGTAACCTTTGTGATATATTAAAAATTGAAGTTCCCTTTGCTTCTGGAAATTTGAAACATTCGGGTTTTTTTTTTTTTAAGCATCCATTTTTATTACGAAGAAGCTATGTAAAAACCAAAAAGAAAACTCAGTTCAAGAAATAAAGAATAATGCTGTTGAAGAATAAAGAATAATTATTTTGTTTTTAAGCTTGCTCTTTCACAAGGTTATTTCTCAGAGTTGAATATTAATGGATTTGGGTTCTCTTTATGCTGAAGAGATCTTAAACAACAGTGTTCATAAAGAAGGACATTAATCAGGGGGAGAGAAGGGAGCCTTGTTTTTAATAATGTTTGCATAATAGCTAACCTTGGGTGTGATGCTTGGCTTAAAAATAAATATCCATGCTTTCTGTTTCCAACACAATGGGGACTGTTTGTGGTTAGGATGCTGTTATATGATCTTCTATGTATTTATGAAGGTACCAAACTGAGAAGCTGCTGGAAAGAAATAGCATTGCTCCGGAGTGATATCGGATGCAAGTTGAAAGGGGCCCTACTTGGAGAATTGGTGGCAAAAGACCATCTAATAGCAAGTCACACTGATTTTACAAGGGGAGAAGAAGCAGGCTGGCCCGCACTTGGATACAATGCTGATTTGATTTTAACTCTTCAGTTGCCTCTTATCCCTTATAAGATATAATCCAAATATCTACTCTTGGCACACAGGCCTCACGTCAGTGGTGGTGAAGCCACAGTGCCTGTGATGTGTGGTGCTCTCCACACAGAACTCCTGGCAGCTTCCCTCAAGGACCATGTTTTCAAGTCCCATGCTTTTATTCAAGTTCTTCCTTATCTTACAAGAACTTTCCAAATCTTTCTTGCCAATTAATTCTAATTATCAGGCATGGGTTGGTTTAAACTTTCCATCACCTTGACAGAACTACTAACCACAGGTCTTACCTACCCTCTCTTGTTGATTGATTAGTTAACATATCTACATGGACTTTGCATTGGGGATTTCTCCCGTTCCTTGATTTATTGTGTACATGTGCCAAGTTTGATTTTTCATAAATGTTTTAAATAGTGACCTCATTTCCTCACAGCTTTCTCTTACTCACTTTTTTATGAGCACTAAGGAAAGTCCCATATGGTCTTGAAAACATAAGCCAGGGTGCTGTTTGATCTTCTGAGTTACAAGACTCTGTATGGACCATTCATTCTTGCAATTTTGTTTGCCTCCTTTCTTGTACAGTCAGCATAGTCCCCTGCATCTGAGGAAGCGTTCTGTACTATGAAAATCCAGACTTATTTGTTCCTCCAAGCAGAAATTGCTAATAGTTTTCCTCAACTTCTTCCTCCTTGTGATCTGTTATAGGGTTTCTGTCCTGAGGGAAAATAGCACTCCATGGCTCCATGATCAGTCCTTCCCATCAGAGAAATGTTTTAGCAGAGCTTCTTGTGTCCAGCTTCACAAACCAAGTTATCTTTGACAAAAATTTCCTTCTGAATGACGTGTGTGTGTGTTTATGTGCAGTCTCAGCAGTGCTAAAAAATATGCCTTCTATCTATTTAAAAGCCTTTTTAAAACTTTAGTCTCACTACCGAGGTGAGCATTACAATTGTTAACCTTCTTTGCTAGAGGAGAAAAAGAAAAGGTTTAAGATGTTCACGTCCAGCAAATCAAACAGAATTAGCCCCTAATCCATCACTCTGTCCACAGTACTACAAACTTAGCAGCAGTGTTTTCTGCCACCTTCTGTCATGGTGCCTAGTAGAGGCCGCACAGTGTGTCAGTGCAGCAGTGAACAGAGGCCCAGACTTAGGAGCCTGCACTGTGATGCAGACAGACAATGAGAGCCTCTACGCCCCAAGAGACACTGCACTCCAAGGGTCAGGGTCCTTACTTATGAAACGTAAGAGGAAGGCCCAGTATTTCATAGGTTCTTTGGACATGCTAATTCCTTTTCTGTACTTTCCATATTTCTCTACTTCTTGCATATGTACGTATATATGTTTATATATTTATAAAACAGGGTGAGTTTTTTGATAATTTTATTCATGTTATAATACATCTTGATTCTGCTTACCTCCACCTCTCTAATCTTCCTCCCATCCCTGCAGATGACCTCCCCCCTCGCAAACACTCCCTACTAATTATTTTCCACAGTCATGTCCTTTTGTTTTGCTTTGTGGCCCACTGAGTTTCCCCATTTCTTTCTTTTCATTTGGCCTCTGTGGTTTGAGAAGGGAGATTGGGTTCACAGAATGGTTCAACGCCAAGTGTGCATTGCTTATAGTTTCTTACAGAAGGGAGCTTTACCCTTTTCCTTTTCTGAAGAACATATTTTCCCCTCCTTCTTTTTGACTCCTTCTTTCTCCCATGTTCAATCAGCTGTCCTCTTCTCCATAGGTGTTCAAGGCTTCTGGCTAAGAGATAGTACTCAGCCCCGCAACACTGAGTACCTTTCTTCACTCAGGACTCTTAAATGTGCAATAAAGCCTTGAGAGCTTTTCCAAGAGGCAGCCTGCATTCATACTCTCTCTCCTCTCCTATGTCCGTCCCTCCTTTTGTCCCTCCCTCTCTTACCTCTCCTGTGTGTGTGTGTGTGTGTGTGTGTGTGTGTGTGTGTACATTAGCCAAGAAGTCAAACTTTTGTTCTTCAGGAACTATTCCATCCATCTAGTTTTTGAGACAGGATATTTCACTGTGACCTGGGTTTTCAGGGTAGGCTAAGCTTGCAGGACAATGAGATCCAGAAATTTGTTTGTCTTTTTTTTTTTTTTTTTTGTACTAGAATCACGTGCTCATGCCTCCATGTTCAGCGTTTTTAATATGGGTCATGGCAATCAAATTTGGGTCCTTATGCTTCTGCAGAAAGTACTTTAATGAGTAAGCTACAGCCCCAGCTCTGTACTCCTTGTTTTCTTGATATGTGCTTTTAGACGTTACTTTAATCAAATGGAAACATCACTCAAATAAGAACAAAATGGTGCTTTTCAAAATAATTTAAATTATTTTTTTTCTCTAAATCTTTGTAACTTGAAAAGTTGAGTTCACTATTTGAATAGTTTCCAAACTGACTCATCTTCTTTTCTAATGGTATCACTTATACAATGATACAGGTAACTCCCTTAAGGAACCATGATTGTCTTTAGATGTGAATATGTTGTTTCCCTCATTTAACATGATTTTTTAATTTATTTTCTATATCCTACATACATAAACCATCAGAAACTTTAATTTCCCCCCCCCAAAGCTACAAGTGTCTTATAAGTAACTTAAGTTATCCAAGACTCTTGGGCTTGTTTCCACCATGGCCATCTGTTAATTTAAGGCAGATGTGATTATTCTCCCCAGACCACCACTGAAACACTGGCTTCCTCTTCTGTCTCTAACTGTCTTGATGTCTGTGGCAGTGAGTAGCCACCACTACAGCATTCATACTCGAAATGGTTGGAGACATACCGAGTCTCTAGAGAACAAAGTATAAGGAAAGAAAGGAGGAACCATAATGATTTACCCTTTCAGCTAGCCCAGAAGGTCTAGACTTTCTCTTTTGCAGTTGTGGAAACTGATGCTCAAGGGGTTAAATGGTTTGTCCAGTGTTCCACACCTATTAGGGTCAGAGCTAAGATTTTAATCTAATGTGATTCAAATTTTACATTATCTTTATAGTACCAGGATGATAATGGGAGTTCAAGAAAGTTCTAGAATTATGTATATGATTGATGCTTGGGTAGGAAAGGGCTTGAAGATGGGTATTTCACATGTTTGACAAAGACTCCCTGTTCCTGCTCCCAATATAGATTACTTCTAAATATGGAACCATTAATTTGGTAACTTCTCAGTGAGAAGGTCTTTTACTAATTTGACATCTCTCTTTCATCTTTCACAGCAATTTTGCAGGCAGTAATAACTGGTGACCTTATGAAGGTAAGCTACTCTCCTTCTTTAAGAAACTTAATTCAACATCATGTCTCACCAAGCTCCCATGATCCAGTCCATAATTTACTTAAGAGGAAGAAAGATGCTCTTTTGAGAAGTGAGAAGAGAGGATGAGGACAGTGATCACCACACTCCGCATTCTAACAGTAAAGAAGTATGGTAGATTCCCTGGACTTGCCTTGGTTAGTTTATAAAAGAAAAGACTGTGTATTTCCAGGGTGTCGTTCTCATAGTGCCTAGAATCCCTGCTTTCTAAGACTAGCATTTGAGAAACTTGAAGGTTTCTTTTTGAGATGTGTATGGGAATGAATACATATATGATAATGGCCTGGGTAGTACCCAGAAATGCATACACCAGCTGCAAGCTTACAACTGCTGAAATAGGAGTCTACTTTAGAAGTCGCGGCCAACTGAGAAAAGGCTATTTAGTCCATTTTGGGTATTTCAACTTGTGTCTGCATTTTCTAGTGAATTTGGTTCACAAGGAGGGAAATGGTCACCACCTGAGAGCGAATGTCAGTTCTGAAGCTAGATTGCCCAATTTCAGAACCTGCTCTGTCATTCACACTATGTACAGTTTTATACCATTACTTTATTATCTCAGTGCCTTAATTTTTTATGTGTGAATTGGAATTAAAATATTATTTTTTGTTGGTTTGTCTTAGAACTGGTTGTAATTCCATGAAAAGATTGTCAGTACTGTTCATGTTACATACAAAGGTGCCTAAAATGTTAGCTGGCTTAGTCTCGGTATATAGTATTAACTTGTTTTCTTTTTCTAACAACATACTTAGTAAAAAAATTGTCATAATGTAGTCATGAGTATTATATAAGAGCTATCTGTTCTTGTGTTATTTACAGTAGGGGTCATGACTGTCTATAAGTCCCTGTCTAACTTCAGCAGTGCTGGCTGATTCTCAGTGAGGGATATAACTTTCCCATCAGCCCTTGTACAGTATGGGCTGCAAAAGCAAAGGCCAAAAAAGGAAGCTGAGAATTACTTTTTCTTTTCTCTGTCTTCTGTCTTGTACTTTTCTCTTCCCTCCCTTCCCTTTCCTTCCCCAATTTTGTTTGTTTTTGTGTTTTTGTTTGTTTGTTTTGGGTTTTTGTTTGTTTTGCTTGGTTTTTGTTTTGGTTTTTCAAGACAATGTTGCTCTGTGTAGCCTTGGCTGTCCTGGACTTGCTTTATAGACCAGGTATATCTCAAACTCACAGAGATCTACCTGCCTCTGCCTCCGGGAGTGCTGGGATTACAGGCATGTACCACCTCACCCAGCTCCCTTTTCATTTTTTAAGCACACCTGTTGAATAAACCAAAGCATACCTTTTCTACATTTTCAGCACATCTCTAGCAGAAAGCAAGGGCTGCGGTTGCCCACATATTGTTTAATTCTGACCATACTGCTTGTACAGTTTTCCCCTGAGTGTTTCATGGCATTGTTACCCAGAAGGGTAGCCTCTTTCCTAGCCAGAATTCCTGGAGTTTCTTGGTCATTTCCCTTCAGTGAGCTAGTCAGCAGCAGTATACAACTCAAAAAGGATTTGACTTGGATCCCATGGAAATCAAGAACAACCCCTGCTCTTGAACACTTCTAATCCAGTTTGTAATCTGAAGCTATTTCCATGTACTTTTACTGTAATCAAAAATTTCCTAGTCCCTGGAGTGTATTGTTATACATCTAAAATATTTTACAGGGAATTGCTTAAAATAGAAAATGTACTATATCTAGCTGATTATCCTGGCACAAGGTACTTTATATTTAATCTCCAAATGTCTGAGGAGTGACTCAATAATGATTTATTGATTATAAGATGAGATACAGAGAAAGGACTTTCTTTTTCAGTCCTATCTATCTATCTATCTATCTATCTATCTATCTATCTATTTATCTATCATCTATCTATCTATCTATCTATCTATCTATCTATCTATCTATATCTTTCTTCTCAATTTTCATTTACTTTACTTTTGTGTGTAGAATGCACAATACATATTAAATATTAAACAGGCTGTGCTTGAGAGACAGAGATAGACAGAGAGAGAAAGAGAGAGAGAGAGAGAGAGAGAGAGAGAGAGGATGAGACCACATGGTAGAACACACTCCAGGCACTCCCATGCAGTGGGGATATATAATACATAAACCACTGCTGGACTTACTTTCAGTCATAGTGTGCAACCTTCCTAAAAGGCGCATCTAGGACAGCTGATCTCTACTTGGTCTGGGTACATCTCCATTGCTATCCTCACTGGATCTGCCCACAAAGATCCTGCCCACAGTATCATTGCAAGATTCTTCTTTGTATCTCTATGCTACTTCTTCCTGTTCCCTTGCTCTAAAGTTTGCAGATATAGATTTCCTTAGCTCCTGCATTTCCAGTATCTCTGACCAGATACTCTTAGTGGCCAATTTTTGATGACTCCTTTCCAAAACCGTGCTTTGTTCCCTGTTACCCCTCTTTGGCCTCAAACTGTCTCTGTTGGCAATCAACACTTTGTTCTTCCTATAGAATTTGGAGTCCACTGAGGCTAGTGACTGAGTCATATTGTATTGTTGCTTATATGTTAGTTTCTCTTGATACATGCTCTGTTAGTTAAATTTTGTCTTCCAAAATCTATGGGAAGCTTTGCCAAGGCTCTTCTTTTCCTGATATTTCAGTTTGGAGGGTGGTGACACATTTGCATTTTATAATAGTTGGTACTTCATGAACTTGGTCTATATCTTTATTTGCCCACCTTACTCTCTGGTGGCTAAATTCTTGGCTTTCCCCACTGGCTGTTCTTATACAGAAACAATGACATTCACATACTCATTTTGGTTCTCATTAGCTCTTGATCATCTTCAGCCCTGTTGTATACCCACTGCCTGATTCACAGAAGGTATCAGGATGAAAAAAGAACCCTCCCTCTGGGTGTCCATGCATGACATGTGTGCACATGTGTATTTGGATGAATGCTGTGCACAGCAAAATGAAGCATTTCTTTTCATGTCATGTCAAGGAACAACAAAAGACACAGGAATGGAACCTACAGGGTCAGAGCCAAGTTCTTTCTACTGTAACAAATGCTGGACGAAGCTCAGGAAATTTTAGTTTTCTTCTTAGAGTCTGGGGCTCAGAAAAGGGGGAAGAAAGCCAACTCAACATATTTCTGTTTCCTTGAGCTCTTTGATACCCACAGACCCTTTCTGGAGCTGCATGAGGAGAACCATCCATATGAGTGATGAAGGGACAGTACTTCATCACTTTGGCTTTGACAGTACTTTGGCTTTTCTGTGTGTCCTCTGAGGCTAAAAACATTTGTGGTTTTCTAGATGACTTTTCTGTGTGACCTTGGAGCTTTTCTCTCTGTTCTGCATGTTGCTGATACTCTTTCCCCATGTCTCTCTCTTTCAGCTCATAGAAAGCTATAAGAATGGAGGCAGCTTGCTAATTCAGGGGCCAGACCACTGTTCACTCCTTCACTATGCAGCTAAAACTGGCAATGGGGAGATTGTGAAGTACATCCTCGACCATGGTGAGTAGGCAACTTACCAGGGATCACTTATCCATGAAATTCTAGACAGTGCTGTCTATATTGATGCTCAACCAATAGATCTTCGCAATGGAATACTCATCAACTGTTTCTCTGACACTCACTGATGCATGTGGGCCATCTTAACCAAGAAATTCAAATAAACAATTTTTATAACCAAAATTAAAAGGGGAAAGCTTTGGGAAAGAAATTAATTTAAAAATTAAAAACTTTCTTAAAAGTAGTTAATTGCTGGGTTCTGTGGTGAACACCTTCAACCTCAACCCCCAAGAGGCAGAGGCAGTTGAATTACTACAAGTTTGAGGACAACCTGGGCTACATAGTGAGTTCTAGAAGAGCCAAGCTTACATAGTAAGACCCTATCTCAAACAATAATTATAATAAAATTAATTAATTTTATTTTTTAAAATTTCTGTATGTATTTATTATTACTATTTAAATGTTTTGCCTGCATGTATGTCTGTTTGCAACATGTGTGCCTGGTCCCTGTGGATGTCAGAAGAAGAAATCAGATCCCCTGGAACAGGAGTTACAGGCGTCTGTGAGCCATTGTGTGGGTGCTGGGATTCAAATCCGGGTCTTCTGCAAGAGCAGCCAGTGCTCTTAACCACTGAGCTATCTCTCCAGCCCCTATTCTTAATTAGTTTAATTCAACTTAATTTAATTTTTAATTAACAGAATACAGCCTGGCATAGTTGTCTTTAGTTTGTAGAGCTTTTTAGGAATTACCTGTTTGGGCTCATTTAAGAAATCTATGTTTAAGGTTGATTCTTCTGTAGGTTCCTATGTTTTTAGAAATTAACTGTTTGGGCTCATCTAAGAAATCTATATTTAAGGTTGATTCTTTTGCAGGTTCCTGTGTTTGTCCTACCCCATTTTTCTAGTTTCTTAGTTTTTGTTGTTTGATTCTCATTTGTTTGTTTTTCTCCAACTCACACTTCATTCTCCTAAAAAATGCCTGGTGTTGTCATGTCACATATGGCTGGCCAATCTTGCCAACCAGAATGTAGACTGACTGGGTTTCCAGTTTGGACTTAGACCACTCCCAAGATGAAGCTATTGGTTTAGCATCTTCCTCCAGAAACCCATTGGACATATAATTACACACAAAGAACACCGCTCAGCTTCTCATGCCTATAATATGACTAGAAATAGAGAACACCCGGGTGTGGGATGGTAGGGGATAAAAAGCTTCACTTGGGGGTTTTTAAGGGTGAATAAGTGAGAGACTGTGACACCCAGGTCCACAGAAAGTCTAGGCAGCCATCTTGGAGCACTGGTGTTGAGCCTGATTACTTTGCACAGCCAGTGTTCTTACCCAACAGGCCATCTCTCCAGCCCTTCAAGCTGACTTCTGCACAGACATGCTGCAGACCTTGAGTGTATTATTGAGTATTTATATCCATTTGATTCTTCTTTTATGCAACTGGGGGAACTTAGATTGTTCCGCTCGTTTCTTCCTTCATTTATACATTCTTTCATGAATCCATGTGGAGTGCCTGATTGGAACTGCTTACTGTGGGCTGTCACACTCAACTATGCACACAAAAGAAAATGCATTTCATATTTTCAAGCAAGAGCAGGCCGAAAAATTATAATTAGGTATACAAATAAATCTAACAAAGTTGAATGTAGATGTTTTAGGTCTTACCATAAAGCCACATAAAGATAACATAGATACCATCTATCAAGCACATGTAATATGTCAGATGCCTGTACAGTACACAGTGCATAATTTAATCTTTGCAAGGACCTTGTATGGTAGATATTAGACTATCAGTCATTTGAGATTCTCCTCTTTTGTCATTCTCACTAGCTGGACCTGTGGTTAAAAGAATAGAAGGAAGTGCTGTGGAGGTGGAACAGTGGGTGCTGGAGAATGGCTTTCCCCACTAGACTGGGTAGTTGTACTTCTGTCTGTCTTAGAAAAATGAACTGTGGTGCTGAGTCTGTCAAAGACATCATTCTTCTTCTGCTTCCCTGATCACCTACCTGCCAGACTTCAGGGCAAGACTTGTAAATAAAATAGTGGCATGATTTCTGTTGCAAATATACACCACAAGTTTATTCTTTTCTGTAACGGTTTATCCAAAAGGCTGATGAAGAACAGAAACAAATTTTGGAATATTGCACATGGACACTAATTAAAGGTACACTTGTCAATGGGACTTTTATTTTTAAAGAAAAGTCCTCAGGATTTGCACAAAGCTTAGAAGGTGGCCATTTGACTTGAGACAGAATCTTCCTACATAATCCTGGCTAGCCTGGAATTCCCTGGACAGGCTTGCCTCAAACTTGTCTTTCAAGTGCTGGGACTAGTGTCTTCTACCAGTCTCAACTAACCTGTGCATTTTGAAACCATAAACTATCTTTGCAGAACCACTCGCCTCTCTGAAATGATAGAAAGCCCTTTAATGCACACTGTTCTTCAAGTCAAAGAGAGATAAATGGAAAGCATTACCATGGGCATACTTAGTCCTCCATTCTTAACGAGCTCTCTGCATCCTGATAAATCTCTTAGTTGATGCTGATGATAGTGCTGGAAAGTAACAGAAATGTTTGTATGCTGAAAAATCTCTTGACTTGCAGGTATGAGTATGTATATCAAGCATGTATATCAAGCTTGGCTCAAGTCTCCCAATGGCTTCAGATAATAAAAATCTCACAAGTTTTTCATAGACCTTGTTATGGGAGCCCACCAGAGATGACTACTCAGACATAGTTTAGAGCCAATTGAAAGCATGTATTCTAACCAAGGCTACACTCAGGTATTTAGGACATAAGTATAGCACCAAGCATTTAGACCAAGCAGCTTTCAAAGACAAGAAAACACATCTTAGGCTCTAGCTCAGCAGTTCAGCAGCTCAGCAGCTCAGCTGAGGTTTGCATTAGCAAACAGTTTAACAGAAGCTAAGTTAGGGGTATCATGGCCTGAAGTCCTAGAATACAGTTGGTTGGGTAATTCCCCATGAAGGAGATCAAATTCTAGCTAAATCTGAAATAGTCTCAGCAAGATTACAAGATGAGGGAACCTCTGTACTGCCTTGCCTTGTCACATTCTGACTGTACCCAGCCTTTACTGACCGTGACTCTAAGGAACTGCTGGGTTCTTTCTTTTTTCTTTTCTTTTTTTTTTTTTAATGTACCCAAGCCATGTTCTGCATGGTCACTTGAGTTGGCCCTCAGCTCTCAGCATCCTTCCTGCTGGAACTCCGTTTTGCTTTGTATCTTCATCGGATGCTTAGGGAGAGGAGTGTGAGCTGCAATCAGGAGGACACCTGATCCAGATTCCTTAGAGATGAGTTATCTCAAGCCCCAGCAATCCCTTTTTCTTCAGAGGGCTCTTTTAAGATGGTTGTAGACTGTGGGCTGTGAGTGGGATGTACAGTATTCTGAGAAGGCCATAGGAGGCATCTTCTTTTGGACTTCTCTCAGACATGCAAAACACTGCTTTCTTTTATTTAAAAAGAAAAGCTGGAATCTGGGCATTTCAAGGCCTGAAAGCAAATAGGAGGAGGAAGAGGGAATAATTCCCAAGACAGAGCAGAGGCTGTGGACACGGATTCCAGCAGAGAGTCTCTCCGTGGTTCCTGCCTTTCAGCTCCTTTCAACCATCATTTTCACTGGCTGCCTCCCCCTAGCTCACCCCTCCAAGACTTTTGTGTGCTTTTCTTCCTTTACTACCCAGAGCATTTTGCTCTTTTGTTTTTATTCTCCCTATGCCCACCCAACCGCCCCCCACCGTTTCCCCAGATAGAAACCCCACTCATGCATTTCCTTTTTATTTCAATGCGGTATTTTGTCTTCTCTCTTTTTCTGACCTCAATCTTTCTTTTCTGTTTTTTTAACCCTCTTTTTTTTCTGCCTCTGGTCCCAGAGAGAAAGGACTACCATCCCGCTGAGACAGGATGACAGTACTCTTCGCATTCCCAGTGCCAGCTCTGTCCACATCTGTGCAGCCTTTGTCCTGTGGCAGGGGAGGATTTGGAATGGTCTGCTGGCAGCGTCAGGGAGACTAATGGGAAATGAGGTCCTGGGAGGGAGTATGGGGGCAGTGGAAGGAATCACAGAGGGGATTTGGATGCACTGGCAAATTTCAAAAATGCATGTACTAAAAGGTCCATCATCTATAATGCATATGCAGTGTAGATGCTGAAGTCATGTGAGCAGGAACTGGACTGTCTAATGTAAGAGCGTAAGAGCGTCAGGGTAGTGCTGGGCAGCAGGACTTCAGAAATCTCCAGTACTTATTACAACATTTACTTTCTCGCATTGAAAGATCTGTGTCATTTGCTGCATTCTACATTCCTTAGACTCTATCTGAATTGTGTGTGTGTGTACGTGTGTGTTTCTGTACCTTTTATGGCTTGAATATACAGTGTACTTCACAGGCTCATGCATTTTTCACATATACGAACACGTGGTCCCCAGCTGGTGGTAGTGTTTTGAGCAGCTGTGTACCTTAGGAGGAATAAAGGGTGGGACTTAATGGTAAAAAGGCAGCCACCTATCAGTGGATTGGGGGAGGAGCATGGGAGGAGAAGAGGGAGGAAGGGCAGGATTGGGAGGGAATGAGGAAGGGGCTATAGCTGGTATACAAAGTGAATAAATTGTAATAAATAAAAAAATAAATTAAAAAATATTAAAAATAAAGGCAGCCAGTGCTTTCTGCTTTCTGGCTGGTTCTGTGGAATAAGCGCCTGCCACAGGCCTGCATTACGATGGTTCATGCTACACTCTACACTATGTCTCCCTGTGATGGTTTGTTCTCTCTAAAATGCGAGCCCACATACAGCCCTCCTCCCCTACTTTACTTCTGCTGTGTACTTTGTCACAGAGAAATGAAACGAAACTGACACCGTTACTCAATTTTCAGATCTTTCCCTGTATGCTACAGGGTTTTGTTTGTTTGTTTGTTTGTTTAAATCTATGTTTCAGCTATGGGACTGTTTTGAAAGAAAAAAAGGAAACACCTAATATTGACTGGGATCTAAAATTATTCCATAGCATCACTCACCATTTGATTTTTTAAAAAGTGGTATTTCTGTCTTAAATACTTTTGAAAATTAAATAAATGTATAGTAACCCATTGTTTACTAAAATTTATTGTTCTAGATATTAAATTGAAATTCTTACAACTCTACTCAGTAAATTTTTCTATTTTTACTGGTCAGGGAGTAAAACTAGAGCCACTGTGAGGCTCGGTTATTTGCCCAAATTCGTGCATGTGTATGATATAGTTTCTGCCTTCTGTATTCAAGGGGACATGAACACGGGGCATAGGTAAGGAACCAAAGACATGGCAGGTGCATTCCAGTGTCATCGGTTGGTTCCAATGACAGCATGCATAGGATTCTGGAAGAAAGGTGAGCATTCCATACGGGAATTTTCACCTTAGTCTTTCAATAGAGAGTTCACACTTACCTTCTGGTGAAGAATAGCTGTGAGAAAGAGAGAATCCTAGGAAAGACAGAGATGCAAGGATTCTGTATTTGTGACTTTTCTGTTGCTGTGCTGAAAACCGTGACCAGGCAAATAATGGAAGAGTTATTGAGCTCACAGTTCTAGGTTAGAGTCCATCATAAAAGTGAAGTGCAGAGACATGTGGCAGGAAACTGGAGCAAGCACCTTGGAGCTCATATCCTCAACTGCAAGCACAAAGAAGAGAACTGGGAATGGCGGAGGCCCTTAAACTTCCAAGTCTGCCCTCAGGGATGCACTTTCTTCAGCAAAATTGTACCACGTAAGCCTCTCCACAACATCAGCAAATGGAGACCAAGTATTAAATTGCCTGAGACTATGAGGGACATTATCATTCCTACCCCCACAGATTCCGTTTGTATAGGGGAAGAATTGTGAATTGTCTGCTCACAGTTTAATGTTCTTATTTCAAATTCCATGGGGGAAAGGCCATAGCATCCATAGTGAGGATATTTGTATATATAAAATAAACCACAATCCAACTTTCGACCATTGATACACAGTGGAAAAATACAGTTCTATTTGCTTTTTAAAATATTTTTTCTCTTTTATTAATGAGACAGATTAGAAAATAATTAAGAGCTATACTTCAAATGCATTTTATCTTTCAAGAGAAATTGGTTTGAGTTTTGTTGATTATTTTTATCTTTTTGGCCACTCATTCTCCAAGTTACACACCAATGTATTAAGTAGGTCATCACAGTGTTAAGGCATAGCTCCCCACAGGTCAGCCCAATACAAACCTGGAGGGAATGACAGCCTGTGTTAAGATCTATTTGGCATCGATCCTTCTGGTGTTGTAGCCATGCAAACATAATCATTTCAGTTGATAGAGGTTCTCAACCTTTCCAATGCTGCAACCCTTTAGTACACTTCCTCGTGTTGTGGTAACCTCCAACCATAAAATTATTTTGTTGCTACTTCATAACGGTAATTTTGCTACTGTTATGAATATCTGATATGCAAGATATCTGATATGTTACCCACAGGTTGAGAACCACTGCTTTAAAAACTAGCTCTAAAAATGACAAGTAAATATGCTAAAACTCTTAAACATAGCTCCCTGTTCCCACCTGAGTAATCTGACTTTTTGCCCTTCCCTCTTTTTCATTAGCTATTTGCTTGCTAGTGTTCGTAATATTCTTTAATCATCCAATTGTCTGTTTGATGGAGGATCAGGGACATTAGGTTAATTGTATCGATCATTTTAGAGTCATTCCTTAAACACTGAAGTGCAGTCCATTTAGATATGATTTAAGAGCACAAGTGTCAGCTTCCAGCATTGGTAGCTTTTCATCTTATCTCTGCCAGAGGATTAAAGAAACAGCCAAGAAACCATAGCTAGCCACAAACATGCCCAATCAAACCAGGATGGATAATCACTGTGGGATAACTCATAGCTATAGTTGTGGGGATTCTGGTCAGCTACTGTGAGATACAAAGTCCTTTTTCTTATCTTCATCTTTAGATTGTCAAACTATTGCTTTATTAGCCCAGTTAAAATGCTTCTGGGTTTCTTACCAGTACAGAAGCACAGACTTAACAAGTCTTGGAACTCACTGTGGACCCACTCTGAGAGTTCTGAAGGTCTTTGTCGCCTTAGTCACTGTACAGAGGGCAGCATGAATGAGAAGTCTGGGCTGGTGTGTTCCTGCACTTCCCCTTTAAATCAACAGTTTAAAATGTTCTCTGAAGATAGCAGGAACTCTTGAGCTGGAACTTCAGGTGCGTGATCCTCATGCTCCTGATCTTATGATTGGTCTACTATCAGAATTGACTAAGCCTGGAGTTAGGAGAGGGAAGGCTATCCTGGATAAGGAGATTGGGAGACAGACCCTTTGAGTTAGGGGAGGTCTGAGAAGTATAAAGTGGGTTAGGCAATTGCTAGTTTAGCTTAGATGAAAAGGTAAAAACTTTATCAACACATTAAGGAGGGGGGGTTCCATGAGGAAGGCCATGAACATCATCTAAACATTAGAGAATATCTTGTAAGTCTCTCATTACATGTCCCATAACATTAGACAGTGTGGGACATTCCATAACAGATGGGACATATGGAAACTTAGTCATGATATATGGTTTTGACAGTCTTTTTAGAAGTGGTTTCTACAAGAGAGCTTCACTCCATAAAATAAATAAATAAATAAATAAAATAAAAAAATAAAAATTCAAGGTGAGTTAGCTCTTGGATGACCAGAAGAGTCAAAAGGATTCTAGACTATCTCAACCACTTCCTTGCCAATGGCCATCATGGTTAGAAACTTGTAACTTCCTCATTTCTTTTCACATTATATACAATATTTTTCAGCAATAATGCTATACGCCAATATAGGTTACAAATTACAAGGATCATGTCTGTAAAGACTAAACTGCTTGGTACCAGAACCATATTTGGAACTCCCAAGCAAATTTATTCATCAATTCAGTCAAACATTTAAGCATTTTCTTGGGACCAGATTCTATGTTCAGTACCAAGGGAGGACAGAATGTTGAAAAAAAATCATAGGATAACATTCCCAGAAGTTTATTAGAGTCTTCATGGACAGGTAAACAACTAAGCTGGTGATTTTAAAATAGTTTGACAAATGTGATGTCAAGTGATGTGATTAGCAATCTCTACTTGCTTTGGATGATTTTGGTTTAGGTGATAATTTATATTACTTAAGTACAACAAATACAACCTACACATAAACTTTAGTTGCCATGTAGGTAGGGAATAGTGTCAGCTCAGAGGGGATTCTGTGTAAGAAATGTATTTAACTGATACCTTCAGAGTAAATAGGGTGAGGGATTTCATAGAAGGAAGTAGTGATAGGAAGATAGAATGGTCTTCTATCTATAGTGATAGGAAGATAGATAGATCCCAAACTATGTTTTCAGAAGAAGTGAATTAATACTAAACAGACACTGAGAAAGAAAGAGAAAGGCCAACTCATTTGTACATTTTCACTCCAACACTTGGAAAAAATGCCAGAAAATGGATCATCTGTAATCATCAGAGATGTATGCATGACAGTTATTCCAGTTATTCATTTTGAAATCCTCAAAAAGTAGACTTTATTCAATTTCCAAATATAGCTATTAGATGACATATGTGTGTCTTTACTTTTCTCATTATACCATAGAAAGCTCTTTTTTTTTTTTTTTTTTTTTTTTGTAGCTGGAGAATAAAAAAGACCTCAAAGCCCATTCTATTGGCCTTTTCTGTCAACTGAGACAATTATTTTTTAGTTATTCTTTTCCAATTAATTTCATTTAGAAATAATCTTTTTTCAATTGTGTGTGTGTGTGACATGCTCATGATGGGTCCACTTATATATGTAGGTACAATCATTTGTGTGGACATCAGGGGAGGATGTCAGATGTCTTCCTCTCCATCTATCTGTATTACTTCCTTCAGACTGGGTCTCTCATTAAACTTGGCTAGGCTGGCTGACCACTCAGGTCCTGGTATCTACTTTTCTCTCCCTACCTTTGCTAAGGTTACAGGCACACAGGGCCATGCTTAACTTTATAAGAATTTGGGTGCCGGAGATTTGAACTCAGATCCTCTTATTTTCACAGCAGGTGTTCTTATCTGCTTAGTCATCTCTCCAGTCCTCATAGAAAGATTCTTGATAAGGAAGGCAACAACACCCTTTGGTGGAGTTTGGGAAACTGGTGATAGAGATTCTTCTCATTCTCACTGTGTCTTATTATTAACTTTGTCACCAAATTTTTTTTTTCAGTTTACCTTTCATTATCATTTAAATTGTTTACTTGTAGATTTTCTGTCAACAGTTAGTTTTAGAATATACTTTTTAACATCTCACTTCTTTATTGTTGTTTAGGACCTGCAGAACTATTGGATATGGCAGACAGTGAAACGTGAGTGTTGCCTTTGGTTATACAGTCTAAACAGTTGTTTTCAAAGCATATCTAGTCTATGAGGAATATCAGATAGTTTTAATTTCACTGATTAACATCCCACTTCAAACTGTATTAATGGTTGTACAGAGGCAATCTGCTGAGTAAAGCAACACAATAAAGCCAATAATTTGTATTCTGGTGATTAAATACGTAGTCAATGCTATCACCATCATTACCTATAGCGCACTACCAGCAAGATGCTTTTACACAGGTTCTGGGATCGCTGACAGTATATAAGTACACGTATATTTATCTTCACCATGTACAGCATTTTTCTTGTCTGGGATTTGAGAGAAAATGAAGCCTCCGTGCCTTAGGACATCTGCTACATGCAATAGCACAACTTCTGCATGTCAGTCTGTGATGGAATATAAATGGAATAAATTATATACCACCCCTGGAGAGCTATAAGCAGTTACTCAAACAGTTATCAGCTCTGGGATGCTCCCTAAACTGAAAATGTTTGTTTTCATATTTCTTTTTTATTCTTCTGACATACAAATAACCACTTTTCCACTAACAGGAATGAGAAAGAGATGAACAATTAACTCTGAAAACCATATGGGAACGACCATAGAGTTTCAAAGAAGTTAGGCAAGGGATAAAGATGAGTGGGTTTAGAGAGAAATGAGCTGGTAATCAGAGAATAGAGGTGGGAATGGATAGAACCGCGGGCAAGTGAAAAGGGATATAGCTGCGAGCTCCTGGACACAGAGAAGCTGTCCACTGACCCACAGAGATGGCCTGATGGCATGGTTGTGGGTGGGACTGTCATTCATCCTTATTTGGCTTCTTTATGGATGGCATTTGATTTTTTCATGAAATACGCTGGCATTAAACATTTTTATAACTTGGAACTCAGAAAGACAATATCTTTTTCTTAGCTCACCTATGAGACAGATGGGGGCCTGTTTGTTTTTTTTCTTGTCCCTTCCCACGCACATACTGAGAGGCAGTTCTCAGGCCTGTTGTGTACTTGGGAGAATTTGAGCCTGTGAATTCTGCTGTGGGTCTTCCAGAGCCTCTCAGATACCTTTTCACTTAATAGATGTAATCCAGTACTGGCTGAACAGGGGGAGGAGAGGTCGGTCTGGCTCTTTAAAGTTGAGCTCTTAGAACATACTCATGAAAGTCATAATGGTTTCTACCATGTTTGAAGGGCATGACTGTATGAGCTCCATGGAGATCCCTTTATGTTCTGCCTGGACTTATCTGCACAATTTGCCTACTTAAGTATCATTGAGTATATCCTAAATCCAAAAATTTACCCCAAACCTTATTTAGTTTAGACAGCTGGGTAAAGTTAGCTGGTAGGTCTGTTAACAAGTAACTTAAGGAAGTGGCAGATATCCTTTAGGCTACCTCCCTAGTGTGCACATATTCAGCTGGCCTAGGTCTCAGCAACTTACAAGGAACAAGGCTAAAAGGCATACAGCATCAAGCATCAGCAACAGGTCAGGCTAAGCCCCTCACCCTGACGCTGCCTCCAGCACCTCATCTGTCTTCAACCCTTGCCTGGTTTCTTAATCTTTGATTTAGGGGAGAGACTGCACTGCACAAGGCCGCCTGCCAACGGAACCGGGCTGTGTGCCAGCTTCTGGTGGACGCAGGAGCATCTCTGAGACAGACGGACTCCAAGGTAACAGGCTAAGTGAGTGCAAGCATCCTCCCACTGGGGGAGGTTGTAGGCACTGTGGCCTGCACTTGTGCCCACGGCATAGGCATCCTTTCTGTGCCCATGGAAGGGCCTGGAGCTTTGGGAAAAGGAGGAAAAAATAGAGTGCTTCATTTAGAGAAACTGTGGTTTAAATGGAGAAGTACAAAGGGAGGGTATGTTTGCCTGTGGTACTTCATAAACCTCAACACATGCTGAAGAGGGATGTGGGCTAGAGCTGTTCTACTGAAACACCAGCATGCAAGGGGTAGGGAGATGAGACCCACAAGCAGAGGTCCAGTGAATGTCCTAGTCCCTTTAGCACTAACCCTAATACAAGTTAAAACCTCCGATTTGCACGGCTCGGCTCCATGCACAGCTGCCAAAGTGATTGCCTGCCTGCTGGCTCCCCAGGTAGTGGGACCTCACTTTGAAATGGTAACAGTTGTAAACCTGATATATCCAATCATTCTGTACCCCCCAATTTATTTATTTAATTTTAAATGCATGTGTATGTACATTTATGTGTGAGAGAGTATATGGATATGTGCCACATGTGTTCAAAAAAGTCTATGGGGCTGATACCCAAAATATATAAACAACTGAAGAAGTTAAACAGAAACAAATCAAGCAATCTGGTTAAAAAATGGGGTATAGAGCTAAACAGAGAATTCTCTGTAGAGGAATATAGAATGGTAGAGAAACACTGAAAGAGATGATCAACATCCTTAGTCATCAGAGGGATGCAAATCAAAATGACCCTGAGATTTCACCTGACACCCATCAGAATGGCTAAGATCAAAAACTCAAGTGACAACACATGTTGGAGAGGATGTGGAGAAAGGGGACCCCCTCCTCCATTGTTGGTGGGAATGTAAACTTGTACAATCACTTTGGAAAGCAATTTGGCACTTTCTCAGAATTTTAGGAATAGTGCTACCTCAAGATCCAGCTATACCACTCCTAGGCTCAAGTATGCAAGGACATTTGCTCAGCTATGTTTGTAGCAGCTTTATTCATAATAGCCAGAATCTGGAAACAATCCAGATGTCCCTTCATTGAGGAATGGATACAGAAATTTTGGTACATTTACACTACTCAGCAATTAAATGAATACTACTCAGCAATTAAAAATGAGGAAATAATGAAATTTGCATGCAGATTGTGGGAACTAGAAAAGATCATCCTGAGTGAGGTATCCCAGAAGCAGAAAGACACACATAGTATACACTCACTTATAAGTGGGTACTAGACCTATAAGATAGGATAAACATACTAAAATCTGTACACTAAAGAAGATTAACAATAAAAGAGGACCCAGAGTGAGATGATCAATCCTCACTTAGAAAGACAAATAGGATGGACATTGCAAATAAGAGAAAACAAGTAACAGAACAGGAGCCTACCACAGAGGGCCGCTGAAAAACTATACCTAGTATTGTATCAAAACAGATGCTGTGACTCATAACCAAACCTTGGGCAGAGTTCAGGGAATCATATGAAAGAAGTGGGAGTTAGTATGACCTGAAGAGTACAGGAGCTCCACAAGGACCAAATATATCTGGGCACAGGGGTCTTTTCTGAGACTGTTTCTTCAACCAAGGACCATGAATGGATATAACCTAGAACCCCTGCTCGGATATAGCCCATGGTAGCTCAGTATCCAAGTGGGTTCCCTAGTTAGCGGAACAGGGACTGTCTCAGACATGAACTCAATGGTTGGCTCTTTGACCCCCCCTCCGAGGGAGGGGCAGCCTTCCTAGGCCACAGAAGAGGGAGGAAGGATAGGATTGGGAGGGAACGAGGGAGGAGGCTACAGCTAGGATACAAAGTAAATAAACTGTAATTAATATTAAAAATAATAAATTAAAAAAAAAAGACAGACTGAGTTTGGGAATGGAATCCATGTAATGTTAAAGGAATTTCCCAGGGGAAATGAATGGCTTGCAAAACTGAAAGCTTACTCTAAGTCATAAAAAAAAATGTGTGAAATGCATATTTATAGATGAATATTCTGGCCTTGTAATCAGTCATTAACTTGCAGGTTGATTAAAGACTCTTTGGAATGACAAAAAAAAAAGTTTGTGGCTGTCAAAAGAGGTATCAGATGCCTTGGAATTGGAGTTACAGGTGGTTGTGATCCACTGTATGGGTGCTGGGAATCGAGCCTGGAGCTTCTGTAAGAGCTGTTGATTGCTGAGCCATCTTTCCAGTTACCTTTAATTTTTCAAAGAGTCTCACTATGTGTGTTTTCTTATATGTTTCCCTAACTGTCAACTGTAGAAGTTAGCATGAGAACAAATGTTATTAACAGGTGTGGGATCCAGAAACCAGAGGATGCACTACTAGCTCTATTGACTTGTAGCCTGATACTGTCTGAGCAGTTCAGCCCTCCTCATTTGATGATAGACTATCCCACTGCCTCAGTAGGATAAAGTGTGACAAAGAATGACACCGTTCATGGTCATTGGATATCTGCCTCACAATGATACTGTGTCACATTTATATGAAATGTGGTTATATGCTTAGGTGAGTTTTTAAATTTTCAGAGTATGTGTGCATATTAGGATGGTCTTGAGGCCAGAGATTGTTGGTAGAATCCATAATCCACTTGACCAGAAAGTGCCCATAAGTGGGCATAGGGGATCAGGAAATGTTTTAAAGATCAGGATCTGTTGCCTTCCTCAGTAGATTCCATTTTCAGAGAATCTCCGAGAGACAGAGTTGATGTGTGGAATATAGTGAAGTTGACCAAGGACAGAGAATACAGACAGAGAGACTGACTGATCGATCCACTGAGTACCCTCTCTCTTTCTCTCTCTCTCTCATGCACACAGACACATACGAGAGACAGAGACAGAGAGAGAGAGAACATCAGTCATATCAATCATAGGGATCAATCTTCTATTCAGAAAAGCACTCAGAGTTTTGAAAGACTTTGAGTAGACAGTAAGGAAAAGACCACCAGTAACTATATCTCTGTTGCAATGAAGAATTCTAAGATATGGGCGAGGCTTTCATTAAACATGACCAAGTTTTGAGCCAGTAACTCTAGCAATGGCACATACACATGGAATTTAGAAGCCTGATCATTGTTGTAAACTCCATTAGGTTTGGTTAAATGATGAGAATCCACATATGTCTATGTACAGTTTGGGCCCTGGGCTTTTCTTGAAGGACAGCAAACCCTTTAAGTTTGCTTGTGAGCGAACCTCTTTTTCACTTCTGAGCCAGTTACATTACATGGAATTCTCCCCTTCTCTGGCACCCCATTGGCATCCCTGCTCTCTGTTTTCCTCAGCTTCTTCCTAGGTTTGCCAAGCACACCTGAGCTCTATCTATATTGCTGTATAGATAATCCTTGTTTAGCCAAGCATTTAAATGCTTAATGTGGCATTCTTCACAGACGATATTTTCACCAAACTGTTTCAATGTTTAACTGAATGCAGAAATACATATCTTGTAGGCATTGAGCTAGTCTAGGCCATGCTGGGAGGAATGGCTTGGTAAAGGCAGTTCAGACCACAGTTGTGCATCATCACAAGGCTGGTCCTGCACACAGTTCAGATACTAAAAACAAGGGAGAGATGCAGGAAACAGAGAGACAAACTGGAGCTCATGAGGTCTGGCCTGCGAACAGGTGCCTTTTGTTTTTTAAGTTTCTTAGATAAATGGACTCAAGGCATTTGAGGCTACTTCCTATTTTAAATTATATAAGTATATTCTTTTTTTTCCAATATATAAATAGCCAATTGACTTTTATGATCATACACAGAAAAGTAAACATAGAAAAGCACACATGGAAAGCAAAAGTCATTTGAAAGCCCCTCTTAGACCTAAATATGATTAAACTTAATCTCTATTTACTTGTAGGTACATCTGCTTGTTTCTCATTTTTTTTAAACCAGTTGGAATCATATCATACATGCTACTGAACATTGTAACTTTTTATTTAAAATCGTGTCTTACAGATCATAGCAATGTAGCTGTGCTTCATTCCTTTGTCAGAATCCCCCAGTCTTACTGTTCTGTAACTCAGTGCCACTTCAAAGCTGAACATAACTGTGAATGGAACTTCTCTTGGAATCTTTGGGATACAGGCAATATCCTTGGGGATTTTTCTGCTTAACAAAGGATTTACTATAAGTCCATTCAAAGGTTCACTTAATTCCACTTTTCTGCATATTTGGAAGATAGGGTTGTCAACCTCATCATTATCAAAGTAAAGGTAAGTTAGTCTATTACAGTTGTGTAAGGAATGTTATAATACTCTAACCTCGTGATTCAGTACTAGGTGCAAACTAAAGAAGTGAACTGTTAGGAAAAGGGGTGTGGAAACCAGCAGAGGAAGAACCTTCTAGGTCATCTGTGAGTTGTCACTCTTCCTCTTGGGTTCTGCTGTTTGGTTCCCAGTATTTAGTGAAAAGGAATCCTGAACTAGAAATGACTCTGTGCTTCTCCTATTTCATTCAGTGTTTCCTCTGTCCTCTTCTGAAAAGAACCTGGCTTTCAAACTCACTGCACACAGCTTCTCCCCACAGTCTCAGGGAGACTCCATGACTTCTGGTTTAGTGAGATGCATCCTCTCCCATCACCCTTTAATTTACCATCACACGTTGATATGATCCTCATGATAGAAGCAAATAGATTCGAAAGTGTCTCATAAACTCTGAAACATCAAACACGGAAGAACTCTTTTCTGTGGTTCAGCTTTGGCTAGTCCATGTCTGTTACATATAGAGATCATCTCACTTCAACTATCCGTTTTTCTTCTGCTATCTATAGGGAAAGACACCTCAAGAACGAGCACAACAAGCTGGGGACCCAGATTTAGCTGCTTACCTAGAAAGCCGACAGAACTATAAGATCATTGGCCATGAGGACCTGGAAACTGCTGTTTGACCCTGGTAGAAAGGCAAAAAGAACTCAAGCAAGTTGTGCCCTCCTGGCCACCGGGCAGCTCCCCTGGAAGAAGCTGATGGAATCCATAGATGCCTCTCTCCTGCAAGGATCTGACTGAGACCATGCTACCAGGTTTCAAGGGCTGCAGGGTTGTACAACAGGACATGATAACCCATTGAGAAGGAGGCAGGCTACCTGGAGATTTGTGGAGTACACATTCCACAAAATCTGATCCTTATTGCTTCCAGCAAGTAGCATGAACTTCTGTTTTCACCAGTCTAATTTATTTTAAAGATTTCGAGGATGTTCACACAAATGGCACTGCTCCCTCCTCCCTCTCTATGCATTCATCTTTCCCCTGCACCACATAATTCTATTGTAATCACCCATCGATTTAGAAAATATGCTATCTCTTCTCTTTATTTTCAGTCTTCCAACCACAAAATTGTCTGAAGGTCTTTGAAACTCTCCTGGATGTATTACAGAAATGTATCTGTAAAATCACTTCCATTTGCAGACTAAATATACCACGGCTAGTTAGTGGCTTGCATGTCCCCCTCTGGTTTCATGACACAGGAGCTGGGAAGTGCCACAGGGCTAATGCCAACTTGTGTGCTCTGTCTCTGAGGTTATGAGAGCTGTCTGTGCTTGATGTACTTTGCAGAGGTTATCTAGGGGTCAGACCAGGCAGCTGGGTTATTGGTGATAGGAGGACTGGTTCGGCTTGGGCTATTTGTACAGCTCCGCACTGCCTGTGTGCAGCCATCTTTGCCTTCTGCTGCAGTGGAGATGAGCCAAGGAGTCATAGCTAGTTTACAGAGCCATGTGATTCTGAGTGCTGTTTCAGTGACAGGGTTAGACATATCTGGGGCAGTGGTGATAGGATATGGAGCACTCAAATGTTTAACCCTAAGCTTTGTAAAGTGATAATAGAAAGCAGTCTAATTGACTTGAAAAATAGAGCAAAAAATCAAAGTAGCAATGTATGTTACAATAATATGCTTCTACAGTAAAATAGCCTTTGGCATTTTGGGCTGAGACTAATAACTACAGGCTCATGGATTCAGTGGTGAAAGGGGGTTTATGTGTGTTTTTCTAAGAGTTCAGTTTTCATGATGTCAAAGAAGGCTTGGCACAAGGACAAAGCCTCATTTCACCAGTTCCATGGTCAGACTCTCAGGATGCCTGGCACTTCTTGGTCTGTGCTTCACCTATGTCTTTTCAGTTCTGAGATCATGTCTGATCACCCCATTTTCCATGTACTGGGGGAATCAATTTTGTTCCTCTCCTTACTTTATTTTCCCCTGTCACAAACTTCTTAATATAAACCACTGTGGCAAAAATGTTTTATGAAATTGTCATTTCTGTTCATGCCATGGATCAGGTGGGATCTGGTAATAGAAGAAGAAAATTTCTGACTTTCTTTTCAAAATCTCCTTGACTTAGGTGTAGATCACAAATATCAAAGGGGTATCTGAGATCTTTTCTTTCTGCTTCCTTCCATTTTTTTTCCCCTTGAACACAGCAAAATGCTCTCTCTGTGTTTCTGCAGGTGACCTTTAACCTCAAAGTCCAATGAGAACAATGTATTTATCAGAATCACATGTTATCATTTTGAAAGGCCGGATATGATGTACCATATTAAGTGCAAGCAGACTTTGAGCGTGTGGGGATTTCATTACCAGAAACTCCTGATAGTCATTTCAAGATTAAACTTGGCATCATTTGTAGCAGTGGGAAAATGAGTTGGCTAAGAGTAATGTGTTTCTAGGCATCTATCTCAGAACTGGAGCTCTCTTTTGGATTTTACAGGGAGGGAGAACAGAGGGTCTGGACTAGATCATTTCCAGGAGCTGAAGTCACTGGGTTTCTGTTAGGAGGTTTTCAGTTGTTGGGGCTGTCAAAGAAATATTGTGATGACAAATATAATCCTTAGAATGGACTGGAACCTGGCTTTGAACGGAGCCTTCCATACCCTAGATTGAGCCAAACATTTGGCCAAGCAGTTGGTTATCCAGCTGGCCACTTCTGAGATGCAGGACATATTTTCATCAACCACCATGTCATATTTCTCTAGGCTTCAAAACAGCCCAGAGAAAATTTAAGATGGAGGTGGCTATGGGCCAGCTCCAATAACTCCAACTAAGACATAAATAAATCCCTGGCATGAAAGTAGATACTGTACTAACTACTGTAAGGGTCCCAGTGCCTGTAAAAATTTCCCCTTCCCCACAAAAAAATTAGATTCTACATTATTGTTGAAGAACAATATACATAATCGATCTGTAGAAAAATAGCACCTCTAAGACATGGGGGATTCAAAAAATTGTGAGCAGAGAAGCCACAGATTTCATGATTTCAACTTTAAGTCTACCTCCTGTAGGATTTTTTTTTTTTTGGTTGTTTGTTGTGTGTGATACTTCTGAGCATTAGGAAGACATAAAGCCAAGTGGTCCAGAAGTGCCTGTCTGTGCTTAGGTATGTAATGTCACATGTAGTGAACAAACAGGAGGTACAGAAGAAAATGGTACAGTCTTGGCCCCACATTCTTTATCAAACCTAAAAATAGGTACCTGTAAGAAAAAAAATCTTTGCATACCTTGCTGGGGCTGTACTGCAAGGAGAAGCCAACCTAGATGATTCTCTGGTGTCCAGTCGCTTGTGCTGTGGAACAGTCTTCTCTGGAATTCCTCTCTAAGTTAGGCCAGTGGAAGGATGAAAAACGAAGTGTTATTAAGAAACAGCATTCTGTAGCTGGAAAGGTAATCATTTTCGTGACCTTGTATTTCACAGACCATGAAACATTAGCCCAATCCTTGCCGCTACCACCTTAAACAACACCACAGACACCAGAAGGGAATTAGTTAGCCTAGGAGGATAATCAGCATGGAATCTGGCCTTGAGATTCTAGTTACCTCCGTAGAGGGGATGATTGAAACCCAGTGGGAGCTCTAATGCAGAACTCAGCTGCAGTGAAATTAGCAAGAACTGGAAGGAGGCCCCTGTTCTTCCTGCTTCTTCCTGTCTTCCCAGAAGCTGCCCAGGCAAATTTGTCTGTGTTCTGAGATGCTCAACAGGTCATTCCTTTCCACTGGGACCTCATGGAGACTCCTTTGCCAAATGGATCTCTGAAATGCACTTGCTGGAATTCCTAGGATAGTCAAGAAAATAAGGGGTAGGTTTCATTTTATCACATGTCAATTATGTGAACATACATTTTAGTTACAAAAGTAGAACTTTTATAAAAGTTCTAACTCCACAGGAATTATCACATGCAGTGTGAAGGTGCCCTCTGTGCTGGTGTTCCATCTTGGTGTCAGTGAGAAACACTGTCGACGTGGACAAATATGGTTGCTTGTATGTTATGTCAGAAATATCTTCCTCAAATAAACACATATCTGTACATGCATACATATATCCACCCACACATAAATAGAAATGTATTTATTTGTATACATATATGGACATATATGCCATTCACACATATTGCATATGTTTAGAAAAAAGACATTTTTAAAGCATGCAAATCATATTTATTTGTATAGTTAACACTACTAGACAATGATTAGTAATGAAACAGAATTTCCATTTAATTGTTATTTTCTCCATTCCTAAACTTACTTTTATCCTTGAATCACTGTAGTTGCACAGCATTGGCAATTGTCAGAGTCATAAAGTCCATGGTCAATGAGTCTTCTGATAATTCATATGTTGCCTTCCATCATGCATGAAACTACCCTCAACCCCATGGTACTTGTCCTTAGCCTAGTGGCTTGTCCATTTTCTTTTAGATCTCGAGGCAGTAAAGGAGAATTCTTTCTTCTATGATCCCCCATTGCTTTAGAGCTGAGTTTATAAGACTAACACCCAGTCAGATTTCTAATGATGTTTATCTAGGGCAAGCTATTGTCAAGAAGGGGTAGTTACTTGGTGTGGTCTGGGGTTAGAGCAGCTTGCATTCCAGTTGGAGAAGCTAATTAAATCATTGAGCACAGCATGGTGTTTTATTCAGTTATGCTCTTTAAAAGTAAAAATAGATGTTTCTTAAAAAATGGCTCATCATAACCACCAACTAAGACTGCTAATTGTTCTATGCAGCAAAGTTATGTTCATGTTAGGAAAAAAAAGATCATGCATTAAATTAGCTATCTGAACACACTGTAATATGTATTTAGTCTAAACTCCCTTCTGTCCACATCTCATAAACACTGCCTTTCCATCTCTCAGTTCTTCTTAGGACTGAGTTCCACGTTAGCCGATAAAATGTCCTCTTTCTGTGCTCTAGTCATCACCCATTTCCTGTCCCCCAGTTCTCTGACTGAGGCATCATTCCTGGCACTACCATGCATCACTTTGTTTCACAGCTGCCTAAATCTTCCCCAGTTGTTATGTTCGAAATATGTCAAGAGGAAATTTTCTTCTGGGCAAGTACCCATGTTGCACAAAAGACAAGTTCATGCCTACTGACCTTGGCCATATTAGAAAATTATGACAAGTTGATTTTTAGAAACAATCTGTGAAGCTTAAATTTTGTTGTTGTTATTGTTCTAGTCACTTGAGAGGTCACAATGATAGATACTCCTCCCATATCAAATGTGTAATCAACATATGCTTTTATCATCATCCAGAGGATTGGATTACATATGGGTTATACTTTTGAGGGCCGTCTATGGACTTTAAGGCTGTTTGTTAGTGTTGTTAATGCACCTTAATGAGAAACCTAAAAACAGAGATAAGCAAAGAATACCATACTGGACAATCCACTCACGTAAAACATTGAAATGCATTATTCTGCTCCCAAAAAAGAAAAGAGAGCACAATCCTAAAGCTATTAAAGCAAATATTTTACAGTAGAAACTTGAATGTTGGGTGATGTGTTTCTCCAGGAAATACTTATATATACATTCAGTCATGCTCATCCAATAATATGTTCAAAACCCATCATATTTCCAAGTTTTTCAACATTTCTTTCAAAATATTTATCACTCATTGCAATGTAGACACCTCAGTGAAAATATAGCTGTCTATGAATGCAATGGATAAATGACTTCCAAGGAAGTGGCAGACAGGGAACAAAAGACAAATTTACATAGTTAAAATTTTGTTAAGTGGTGTGTGTTTGGATTCTGGGGTACCTCAGCATGTCCTGACAGTTCACCGGTGTTTTTGTCATGTTCTTAAAGATATATTTGAAACTAAGACTTTAAGATAGAAGTTAGAAACCCTATTTAGTAAAATCTAAGATTTATTTACCCCAGTGTCCTCAAGCGTGTAACCAGGAATAATAAGCAGAATTTTCAGTGGGTTTTAATTAAATATAAAGAAGAGGAAGTATGAGTTGCCAAATAGTACAGTGGGCATCCATACAGAGTTACAAATTTTCAACATCTGGAAATGCTTAGAAGGAGGGCATTTGGCCATCTTTAGGTATGTCACTAGAAGGGATTTGTGAACTGAAGGGGCTGCAATTAGATTTTTATTTTCCTTACATCACTTTGAAAATGGCTTTGTCTAATAGTAACATTTGATCTTAAAAATTCACAAGAACCTTGATTTCTTAATTAAAATATCACTTTATACATAAGGAACTTTAAAAACTTGAAGTGGGTGGTCTTTAGTTCTTACTTAAAAAAATTAAATCCATCTAAGCACAGATTCAAGACCTCAAAAAAAAAAAAAAAAGGAAAACACATGAGAAGGTAAAATTTCAATTTTTTTCTGAAAATATTTTGGGTGTTGATGAGTATTTTTGGACATTCTCAAGTAAAGCCCTTTTGAAAACCTTACCTTTCTTCCAATATAAAAACTGCTGTGATTTGAGATTCGTAGACTTAACTGTAACATGATCAGGGAAGGAAATTCTGCCTCAGGGATATTTAGACCTAAGTAAATGTACATGAAAGGCATCATGTGAAATACCTTGGCATCTGCTATCAGCATGATCATTGCAAGGGCTTCCTCTTGCAGAAATCAAGAACAAAATGTTGGGATAGATTTTCTCTCTGCTTCCAACATTCCAAAACCTTGGAGGCCAGTGGTGTCTAAGTTGGCTGCCTTTGGTGGTGGGAACAATAGGGCTTTCTTTATTGAAGCACACATGTGGCTTACAATATAATTTAAGACAACTAAAATATTGTTTATTAACAACTTCTGTAAGTTTTTTAAAAGTCAGTGCTTTGATAGTTTGATGCATTTTTGACATTTCTGAACTTTGATACTCTATGATGGGGATAATTCAGCTAAGACATAAATTAATAAACTGATTCTCAGCATAATATAATTCAACCTGCACGACTCACACAGTGATAGGGTCCTCACCAGAT